AATTGACTTCGAAACGTTCGAAATTTCGAACAAACTCCCGGCACACCTAGCGCGATATGCGTCAGATCGGTGTAGAAGACGTGTAGAAGAGTTCTTCATCTCGTGATCAGTCAGACCACCTAGAAATATGGCGTTGAGTTCGATCGTGAGCATTTTCTCCGCATTCGTATCCGCACAGAGATCGATGTACATTTTATTATAACAGGAGATAAGCAATTTCAAAGATAAATGCAACAAGTTTTCAACCCAAAATAGTTATTTAGAACGCCGTTAGAGACGTTTTCTTTACAGCTACTGGGCCTTTAATGATAGAAATTTTATAAATTTTTTTTTTGCTGTTATTTACTTTTATTTTTATAGCATTTTGGCAGAAACTTGTAAAAAAAGTCATAAGTGTCCACTCACTCAATAAATAATTATAAATTGATTGCAGGTTCAGTTATTCCTAAAGGACAGTTGGATATCAACTCTACGTGCTGCAATCAGGACAAGTTTACGTGATGTAGGAAAAGGATGGTTCAATCTACATGAGACAAATTGGGAAGTCTATCAAATCTCCAAACTCAAGAAGTTTATGGAAATGGTCAAGTTCTCTATGCAGGTATTTAATCTTTTTCCATGTTCATCACAAACAAAAAGAATAACCTTTTCAGTCAAACAAATTTGCGAAGATTTATTAAGATGAATATCTTGTCTTACTTTGATCAACCCATGAAACAAAATCAAAATAGCGCTGTCTATATTACCGACATGATGTCTGTTTTTTTTAAACTCTTAGAATATTCAAATTGCTTTCATATTCTTCCATATATTGTATTGACCTAATTTTTTCCTTTTGTTAATTTCCTAATTTTGCGGATAGCTGATTGCAGTAAATTAGTTAAAATTCAGTAATTATTCAAAGTTAACAATAGAATGTATTGTTTTCTTCACAAATCAATGAATTTAAACTCAGTGAATTTTTTTATTTCTAGAGTATATTATCTTTAGTACCGTACTTCCTTTATAGACCATATTAAAATTCAAAATTATAGTGAATTGTAGGATTTGACCGAATCAAACCATAGTCAAACGAAAGTCCACCAATCACAAATGCACCCTGACAAAACTATCCCACAATGCACTAAAATTTGAAATTGCGATGTAGTCTGATATACATGTATTGTGCAACTTATCTGATGACATCTATTTCTTTCTATAGGACTCCCTGAGATATCTGGTACAAGATTCTCTAGTTAATTTTACACAGATGATCCTGGACGCATGTCACATGATTCTCAATCTAGAGGAAGATATGCAGTGGGAAGGTGATGTCATGACAAGTCGATACAGGTAAACGCTTTTAACTCATCAGCAACACTCTATCAGATACTATTTTCTTCATCCATGCGATATTTACTGTTGTCTTTTTTATCATCAGTCTTCCCATTGGACAAACGGTTTTCATGTGGTTTGAGGCAATTTTTGATGTCTTCCTGATCTCGATGCCATTGCTGCTTCAAGTGAACACGTTATAATTTTAATATGTAAACAAATATGGCAGCCGCTGTCATTTCTGATTAAATTCTGCTCGATTTGACAAATTAGGCCGTACAGATGCCTAAAAAATTGTTGACAAGTGTGGTAAACATGAATGGCTGTAAATATCATGTGTTCGTTTCATGTTAAATGTAACTGGTAGGCTACATTATTCGTTTGTGAATTTATTGTCTACAGAACTGCACTGCAAGAGTTTTGACCAAGTTCACAGCATTGAAGAACGAAATGTAAAGCTGTTTACTAAGCAAACTACATTGCATAGCTAGTGTAATATTCTGAACCTTTTGAAGGAAACTATATGGACATTGGCACAACAAAATCTTTCTGCGGTTGCAATAATTGTTATTCAAAAGAATTATGACTTTCTCTTCTCTGAATATTGTGTTCATGTTTATTTTTGATCTACATTTGAGTTAAAGAGATGACAAAATAAATCTTAGCCGCAATCTTTGAGGACATCATTATTCGTCTTCCCAAGTTGCAATTATTCACCTCATCTATGCCTCAATGAATAATTGGCACATCAGGGGGACATATGTAAATTGTCTCAAAGATTGTCCCATCAGATGTGGCTAATACTTTTATAATAGTCTTCACAATGAGGTAAAAATACTGGTGAATCATTAGTCTTTGCAAAAAATTTGCTTTTTATGTCATTTAATAATAATCTTTCGGAGTTGCCAAAATGTTTGTGTCTCGAATGAAACGTTATAAAAATTGTAATGATCAATACCTGTATATAGATGGTCCCAGAATTAAACAAATACAAGATTCTAAACTTTGTTTTTGTATGTAAACAAGATTGATCTATAGTTTTTTTCTGAACTAAATGCATATTCAACTACCATGGGGTAATCCTCTATATCAAACACTATATTTTATATGCATTTTATACAGTACAGTTTGGCATCAGCTTCGCGTCATTGAAAATTGAAGCTGTGTTCGCCTCGCTTATTTTGTGGCATCTCCGTGGCCTCAGCATCGCAGTCTCATGGCATCACCTTCAAAGTATTGTGAAGTATTTTTGCACGGTCAAAAATAAAGCGGAAATTGTCCGATCAAATTCAACAAGCTGGCGCAAAAGCGAGCAATTGAAAAGTGGAAGCGAGCGAGAGGTTGGGCGAAATGAGTACTGTACTTCTTTGTTTGATGAAGCAATGCTGATGCCACACTGTCGCCATACTGAGGCCACAATGAAGCGAAGCTATAACCGCCGATTTTTTTAATGTCGCGACATTCATGCAACAATGCCATAATGATGCGATGCTGAAGCGAAGCTGACGCTAAAGTGAAGCCAAAGCTTTCGCGTGAACTGTACTGTACATTGCATGGGACCTGTTTCGAACAGAACACAGTGAGACTAATA